CCCCCTACCGCATTCCAAAACCAGTCCAGCTCGTCCCTGCCTCCCTAACCTGTTCTTCCTCCCACCTATCCCCTCCTCCCACCTCAAGCCGCACCTCCATCTCCTACCGACCAACCTCATCCCGCCCCCTTGACCTGTCCGTCCTCCCTGGACTGACCTATCCCCTTCCTAACTCCCCACCTACACTCACCTTTACTGGCCCCATCCCTGCCTCTTCGACCTGTTTGTTTCCTCTCCACCTATCCTCTCCTCTATCCATCTTCTATTCGCCTCCCATTCTCTCCGTATTTATTTGAGAACGCCCCTCCCCTCCCCCTTTTCTGATGAAGGGTCTAGGCCCGAAACGTCAGCCTCTCTGCTCCTATGATGCTGCTTGGCCTGCTGTGTTCATCCAGCCCTGCACCTTGTTGTCTCAGATGTAACTGTTGATCAGTTAGCTGAACATCTGCAGCTGGGAATTGCTAACGTTTATTATAAAGGATATAATAGCAGTGTACTTAGAAATATATGTTGAAATAGAATTATAGAATCTCTATAGTGTAGCAGGCCATTCAGCCCATCAAGTCTACACCGACCCTCCAAAGAGCATCCCACCCAGACCTAAACCTCCCTCCACCCTATCCCTATAACCCTGCATTTTCTATGGCTAATCCACTTAGACTATACATCCCTAGACATTATTGGCAATTCAGCATGGCCAATCCACCTTGCCTGCACATCTTTGGACTGTGGGAGGAAACCACAGCACCCACTGGAAGCCCACGCAGACACAGGGAGAATGTGCAAACTCTACACAGACAATTGCCCAACGGTGGAATCAAACCCAGGTCCCTGATGCTGTGAGGTAGCAATGCTAACCACTGAGCCCTGTGCTGTCCTTTTTCGGTCATGCCTGAAAAAAATTAGTTTTTTGAGGGATTAACAATCAAGCTGAAACCAGCAGATGTAATGGTTGAATTTCCAAAAGGTATTTGATAGGCTATCACACAAAAGGTGACTTGAAAAGAGCCCATGGTGCGGACGTTAGCATATCAGCATGGATAGAGGATTGGCTAGCTAATAGCAGACAGCTGGGATAAGGATGGGGTTTGGGGCATTTTCAGGATGGTTACTTGTAACTGGTGGAGTGCTACAGGGATTGGTGGTGAGGCTACAATTATTTGCAATATATATTAATGACTTGAATGAGGGAAGTGAATGTTTTATCATCAAATTTGCAGATGTTATGCAAATAGGTGACAAGGGAAGTAGAGAGAACGACACAATGAGTCCACAGTTGGATGTAGACTGGTTGAGTGAGTAGGCAAAAGTTTGGCAGATGGCATATAATGTGGCAAAATGTGAGGCTATACACTTGGGCAAGAAGAATAGAAGAGCTGAATGTTATTGCATGGGGAAAGAATGCAGAAAGCCACAGCACAGCATTTTGGGTATCCTTGCGGACGCATCACAGAAAACTAGCGTACAAGTTCAGTCGGTATCAGAGGAGACAAACGGAGGTTTTGCCTTTTTTTCAGAGGGAATGGAGTATAAAAGTGGAGAAGCCTTGCTAAAACTATAAAAGGCACTAATTCGACCACAACTTATCTAAGCAAATATGTACTAGCATCAGAAGTAGTCCAGAACATTTTCACTCAGCTGATCATGGGTATGGAAGGATTTTCTAATGAGGAAGGTTGAAGTAAGTTGGGCTTGTATTCATTGGAGTGTAGAAGAATGAGAGGCGACTTTATTGAAACATATAAGATTCTTAGAGGGCTTGACAGAGTAGATACTAAGAAGTTGTTTCTCCTAGGACCAAAGGGCATAGTCTCAGAGAAAGGGGTCATCCATTAAGAGAGATGCGGAGGAATTTCTTCTCTCAGAGAGTAGTAAATCTGTGGAATTATTAACCACAGTGGGCTGGGTCATTACATACATTGAAGGTTGAGATACAGATTTTGAATCAGTAAAGGAAGTGAAGGTTTTGTAGAAAAGGCAGGAAAGTGGAGTTGAGCATTATCAGATCAGCTATGATCTCATTGAACAGCAAAGCAGACTTGTTGGATTGAAAGACCTAATTCTATACCCATGTCTTATTTTGTAAATCCACCTACTTCTTTATGCTTTCTATCAGTACTTTGCTGATATCGAGCAATAGTTAGGTTTGATGTGTCATGTTTCCTTCTGGATAATGGTAGTTTCTCTTCTTTATGAAGTATGTTTCTATTCCACAGTGTTCCAACATTCCAGAACCTTTCAGAGGAAATACTCAGCAAACTAGCTGACGTCCTTGAAGAGGTAAGTGATAACATTTACAACATCTATCTTGTGCTGTTTTATTTATATCTTCTGCGATATGCTTTCTGCTTCCTAACTAAAATTGTAGAACTGCCAATCAGGAAGCTAGTTAATGAAATAATGATTCTGAAAGGGCTAAAGTTGGAGACCACATTAAGCTCAACCCATTCTGATGATATCCTACTGACCTGCATGGGAACAATGCAGAATAGCTTGGATCTGTTGGAGTAAAGACCTATATCCTGGGTTTCCTCATAGTCTAAGTAACAATGCCTAGCCTACTAATGTAATTTGTACCTGACTGCTATCATGCAATAAACTAATCTTGTTTAGGTACCCCTTCTTATTAAGACTGACTTGCTGGTAGCAAATTACACCAACCAGAAGCTGGTAATGGTTGGCGTCTCAAAACTCACAACTTGGTGATCGGGCATGCATATTGGAATTTGATTTAGGTGCACTGTACAATAGTGGTTGGTATTATCATTTAATACCACAAAGTAACATTTATGAAAATGTCAGTGAACATCCAAGTGGAATTGCAGAGTTCCAGGGACAGTACTGAGCAGGCAGCCTTTAAAACTTTACGGCTCTAAGGAACACTCATATGAACAATGGGCATCTGCAACAGCTGAACAACGAAGCAGTCTGCAGACAAACTACTGGAAAGATCAGCCGCACTTAATGATCAAACATTTGCTTCAGACCTGGTAGGAAGCACAAGTGTGAGCTAGTCACAACTGGCAGTTCCATATTCTATTGGGAAGTGAAATCTATTGGAACAGTCCCATTAGAGGTTCAGCTATGAAGTGAATGGGCATCAGGGCTCCATGAGTAAAGTTAAACAAATCCCTACTGAAAGCAACAAATGCTGGAGATCACAGTGGGTCAGGCAGCATCCATGGAGAGAGAGCAAGCTCATGTTTCGAGTCTAGATGACTCTACATCTAGACTCAAAACGTTAGCTTGCTCTCTCTCTCCATGGATTCTGCCTGACACACTGTGATCTCCAGCATTTGTTGTTTTCAGTACAGATTCCAGCAACTGCAGTAATTTGCTCCTTAAACAAATCCCTGTTGGACAAAGGGAAATCATTAAATTAATGGGCACAAAATGGGCTAAGAAAATTAGAAGTTGAAAAAAAAGGAGTAATTACAGTTCACAACAAGTGTTGTCACTGTAGCAAGGAGATACCATGAGGCACCGTTTCAGCGGGGGAGTGAAGGGCCATAGCGTTAAATTAAGCTGAGGTTTCAGCCCCGGTAATGACATAAATTCAGAACCAAGGTGATTTGAGGGACACTTTAAAGTCTTAAACATGGTCTAACAGAAGAAAATGAGATAATTGAAACAGTAATAATAGTAAAATTTCTGTTATGTGAAGTGCAGTTCAGGTAAGAAAATATTTCTTAAAGCCTCTGGCATCAGGAAAGTTATGGGAAAGAAGAGATTTTTTAATAGGGCTGTGAAAAGCAGGAAATTGTTCATTTTGCCTGTGAAAATGCGGGGAAATTCCATTTTGCACACAGATGGCAGGAAGCTTCCTTTTTGTCTATAAAAGCACAGGGGAAACCTCAGTGTGTAGTACCTTTGTTAGGTTATAGAATTTAAAGCTTTAGAACAAGAAAAATAAACCAACATTGCTATGCCTCAGATTTAAAAGTTTGCCAGGCAAACAGAGTGAAGCAGCATTGAGACACTGCAGAATTATGAAGCTTTGAGAAGAAAAGAATAGATAATGATATGAGGAAGAAGTGAGAGCAGAAATAATGTTACCAGTAAGACTTAACGCCAGAGACAGATCCAAATTGAACACAGGCTTGGACATCTTGGAGAAAACAGTTCTTAAATTATAGAATTGCGTCCAAGCTGGAGAATAAGTTACAAGCTGAACACAAGTACACTACTGAGTTTAATAGGACCTGCTGCTGAAGAAGTTTTGACTGTTCGAAACATGAAAGAAGTCATTGATATTTTTGACGGAGTTTTAGAAGCTTTTACTAATTACCTTAAGCTGCAAACAAATGGAATTTTTCAAAGATTTAACAGAAGAGTTCAGCATCCAGATCAAACTGTAAATTATTTCATTAATGATCTCTTCAAGTCTGCATGAAAGTGTGACTATGGAGCTTTGAAATCAGAATTCATAGGAGACAGAATTGTTGTTGGAATTAACAATGTAAGATTAATTACAGTCCAAAGAAGATTTGATTTTAGAGTAAGTTTATTCAGGTTGTACTAGAAGCAGAAAGTAAGAAAAATCACACAGAAATCCTGAGAAAAGAACAACATATTATAGGAGTGCAACAGAATTCAATCAAGTATAAAGATCCTAAAGATGTATGTGACAAACTAGCACAAGGTGTAGGTCAAATACCAGGAATTAAGAATCTCTGTCAGTGCTGTAGACAAGAAGACATCATGCACAAGCAGTGCTTGGTTATTAACAAAGAATACAATATCTGTAAAATGATATGTCACATCCAGAAAATGTGTCAAAGTAGGTTACACTGCAGAGCAGCAGAAGTGAACTGGCTATTCATACTAAAGTTTTATTGTGATAGAGTCATTGGCATTAGAAAAAAAATGCCCAATGCATTGCTCAGGCACATTGGTGATCGAACTAACTTGAGTTTGAGAGAACCTATTTATGTCAGCGGATATCTCATTAACTTTAAGCTTGACACAGGGGCGAGTGTAACTATCATTTCAGGTCATTTAGCATGGGTGAAAAAAAATAGGGGTTACAGTCTACTGAGATAAAATTACACAGTCCAGGTGGAAAAGCTCTTAAGATGAAAGGAATGCTACAAGGAACCTTGTAACACAAAGAGGTAAGATCGTAGGGAATGTATATACATTCATAATCAAGAAAGCTGACTCTTAATCAAACACTCATATCTTGACCTCAATATTCCTGAAGCAGCAGAGGAAGCTCAACAAGTTACAATGAATGGTGAACAGGTCAAGACAGACCCAAGTTATGGCAAGATCATCCAAAGACAAGCCAGTCAAGGAACATCTGGCCCAGGAGCAAACGATTATGAAACAACTGGTCATGTGACAATAGATAAAAGATTTAATTGGGCCTCCTGGACTCATGGCTGAATGCAAAAGGAAGCCAGAATTCCAGAAGTTACCTACATTAGCTTAAGAAGAGATTTTAATACTATCAGCAGGATGGAAACCTGAGACCACAGAGGATTGGCAGAAATGTTTTCTCTTTCTATCATCACTGATGAAAATTCAGATGACAAAACCCAGCAAAGTTTGCAAGAAGATGTAGATGAGGAGAAAAAAAAATGACTGGTACAACCATTTGGAGTTCACTCATCAATTTGTAACTGAAATGGTTCAGGCACTAACCCAGCCAGGTGAATAAAGTATAGTAGCATAAACCATAAGATGTAGGAGCAGGAGTAGCCCATTCAACCCAATGTGTCTGCTCTACCATTCAATTGGGTTGACTGTTTACCCTTGAGGGCAGGTCTAGGACCTGAGGCTATTATATCAGAGAGAGGGATTGCCAGTAGTAGGCTAGGGGCAAGGAGGAATTATTTTTCTATCTGGTGGTAGTGAATTTGTGGGACTCTTTACAGCAGACGTTCCTAGAGGCTGGAATGTTAAATATATTCAAGGCTGAGATCAACAGATTTCTAACATTAAGGGAATCAATGGTTACGTTGATAAAGTAGGCTGATCTGTTAATCCTCAGCTCCACTTTCCTACTTTAGCCTCAGATGCTAGACCTGCCCTCAAGGGTAAACAGTCTCTCCCCACCTACCCTATGAAGCCTCCAAGGAATTTTACATTTCAATAAGTCTCCCTCATTCTTCTGAAATCCAATGAGTACAAGCCCAACCCACTCAACCTTTCCTCGTATGAAAATCCCTCTATACGCGGGATCAATTTAGTGAACCTTCTTTGGACTGCCTCCAATGGCAGTATGCCTTTCTCGAGTTACGGGGATGGAAACTGTTTACTGTATTCCAGCTGTGGTCTGACTACTGTTTTGTATAATGTCAGCAAGACCTTCCTATTTTTATACACCATTCACTTTGAATAAAGACCAGGTCTGTATATTTGCTCACCCTCTGTCCTGTGCATCCTGTGTGATTCATGGAATAGAACCCCCAAATTTCTCTGTGCTGCAGTTTTTTGCAGTCCTTCCACATTAATAAGTAATATTCAGCTATTCTATTCTTGCTGCCAAAGTGCATAACCTCACATTGTTCTACATTTTATCTCATCATACAAGTTTTTGCCCTGTCACTTAACCTGTTTTTCTCCCTTGGCAAAGTGTGTCATTCTCAGTGCTTGCATTCCTATTTTTGTGTCATCTGCAAACTTGGTAATGGCACAGTTACTTCCATCATCCAAATCATTAATGTATGTTGTAAATCATTTGACCCTCCCCAACACTAGCAGCACTTTGCTAGTTAAAGGTTGCCAACCTTAAAATGCCCCCTTTTATTCTCAACTCTCTATCTTCGAATAATTGGAAAATGCTTTATCCGTGCTAATATGCTACCATGGCTTTTATCTTATTATGGAGCTTTATATGCAGTACCTTACTGAATGGAAGTTCAAGTATATTGTATCTACTGAGGAAAAGTTCTGAGGTACCATTCTGAGGAAAGGTCACTGGACCCGAAACGTTAATTCTGATTTCTCTCCATAGATGCTGCCAAACCTGCTGAACTTTTGCAGCAATTTCTGTTTTTGTTTTTGTATATTATATCTATGGTTACCTATTTATTTATACTGCTTATTATGCTTAAAGTTGACAAGGAACCCAGGAGCTGATGGGATGCATCAAAGGATTTTGAAGGAAGTGAGTGTAGAAATTGGAGGGGCCCTGGCCATAACCTTTCAGACTTCCCGAGACATGAAGAAGGTGCCTGAAAACTGGAAAATTGCCAATATAATGGCCTTATTCAAGGAAGTTGTAAGGATAAACCCAGCAATGATAGAGCAGTCAGTTTAATTTCAATGATGCA